CATTCTTTTTTTTTTTGCCTAGAACTTTTTATAGGTTTCCCGATAATCATGATGACATGACACGGTAATAAGCTGATGTGGTCTTATTTCTCGGTCCAAGTGTTTTTTATTTTTTTATTTTTAAAAAGAAAACTAAACGGTTTTCCTAAGAGTTAATTCCAGCAATGGTCCCTCGAGTATGTTGATTTTCCACATTTAGTCCCTGTCTTTTAATTTGGACAATTTAACCACCCAACTATTAAAATTTTTCCAATTGAGATCCTTCCGTCAATTGTTGTTAAGTGAGCGTCAATTTCAGGGGCAAATGGATACTTTTACTTACTCAGCGTATTTCTCCCCATCTATTGGCCACGCCGCCGTGAAAACGCAACAACTAGTTCCAGTTCCTAGGATGCTAATGCCTATGACCATATCTCTGCTCACAAGCTGGTGGTGAGGGATGTGATGTCCGATTTTTCCGGCTCCAGTCGAGTAATTGCAGGTGTTGTTGTGGATATGTTCAGCACAAACATGATTGATGTTGCCGATGAGTTTGGACTTCCCAACTACGTGATTTATACCTCCGACGCTGGCTTTCTTGGACTCAAGTTTTACGCCCAGACGCTCAAAGATGATTACGGCCGGGACATTGCCGACTACCGAGGCTCAGAAGCGGAGCTGTCGGTTCCGAGTTTCGCGCACCCTGTACCGGCTAAGGTCTTGCCTACTCCCGTGCTGGACAAATATGGCCTTTTGATGGTCCAAGACTGAGCTCGAATGATCAGACGAACAAAATGAATTCTGATTAACACATTCTTGAAGCTAGAGGCGCACGCGATTGCATCTCTATCTGACGAGAAGTTCCCGTCCATTTACGAGGAAAAGGAAGAAGAAGATGAAGAACGAGTTTTAATGTCATCATTATTATGACCATTCCCCGCCTTCCTCATTTCGTCGAGATTTCTGAACGGAAAACTTTGGGTCGGGCCGCCGAACCCCTTTTTTCTAAGTTTCTGGCATCTCAAGAAAGGGAGAATGCAGGATTTTCCATAACAGGATGAAAATAGCGGCCAAGCCTAAACTGAAAGCCTGCAAAACTCTAAGAATCTCCATTTTCTATATAATTTAATAGTCGGATGGTTATATTGTCTAAATTAAAAGATGGAGACTAAATGTGAAAAATCAACATACTGGGAGACCATTACTGGAATTAACTCATTTCCCTAATTCCTACCCCAAACTCTAATTCGGTATTGTCGGAAACGGCTTTGCACTGGTGGTCGCCGACACCTCCGCCGTGCACAGCATTCTCGTCCACAAATCCAACGAGGATAAAATCATGATCCTCGATTCTCACAAGCTCATGGGCGCTAGCGGCAAAGCCGACGACCGTGTTCAATTTACGGAATACATTCAGAAGAATGTAGCGTTGTATAGTTCCGCAACGACATTCCTTTGACGACCGCCGCTGCCGCGAACTTCACCAGAGGCGAGCTTGCCACTGCCTTGCGAAAAGAATCTATACTTTGTGAATATCCTCCTGGCTGGCTATGATAAGGAGACATGCCCTTCTCTATACTCTGTAATCGGCATCAAATGCAAGGATGGAATCGTCATGGGCCGGTGTGGAGAAGCTGATTGCTTCGAAGATGATGTTGCCAGTATCTAATCGGCGAATCACTTCGTTCGTCGCCATTCCGACATTTGCTGCTGATGGGAGGCAAATTGTTGCAATAACTAAATCTGAAGCAACCAGCTAGCTATCTATGGTGAACCTATTCCAGTGAAAGAACTTGCTAGTTAATAGTTATGTACACTTTATTATGGTGGCTCTGGCCTTTTGGTTGTGGGGTGATTCTTGAAGGATATGATAGAGATGGACCACAGTTACGTTGTACATGCTTGAACCTTCTGGAGTTTCTTATAGGTACTTTGGTGCTGCCATTGGAAAGGGCAGGTAAGCTATTAAAATTGAAATTGAGATATTGAAAAACCTTTTGCTATGGACCTGTCATTGAAGAAGTTAATACTGAGCCGGTGGTGGAACGCGTGAAGGAGGAAGACGACCACGACATAATGTGTTCAACAGCCCGAATTCCGATACCTATATATGTCATATTTGGAGAGGCAAAGATTGAATATTTGAGCTCTCAGCTTCAGTCCCAGGCATGAAAATGAAAGCAGGCTTTGCGTGCAAGGTAGATAGTCCACGCTGTCAGCAAGAATGCTAGAAGAAAAATGAAAAATGAAAAAAAAAAAAAGTCCATGTCAACATATGATAACCTTTAACCGGTAGGCAACCTATAAAAAATTCTAAGCGAACAAAAATTAATAGTTTATGAATCTAAATATCACTTATTAAAGATCATGGTGCAGCATGAATAACCAGAAATGGTTCAGAGTGCGGGATGACACTTTAGCCTATTATTTAACACCAAAATGAAGTCTTATCTCTGTCCCATTTTATATGTCATACTTACTATTCATTGGTCAATCAACTCTTTCTTCTTTGTTTATTTTCTTTAGTATTTTTTTATTATTTTTAATTTGATTTTTTGTGTAGTTTCTAAATATATAAACTTTGTATAATAATAATAAACTTAATATTATGAAAAATTGTATTAAAAATAATTTCAGTTAAGTCTCATTAATCAAATCAGAAACATAAAATGAAACGAAAGGAGTATCAAATATCTTAAATGAGTTAATACCCAAAGTCGTCCTCGACTATAGTGGTTTTTCTCAATTTCGTCCTAAACGACTTTGGTGACCTAATATCGTCCCAGACTTTTGTGTTTCGCTCAATTTAGTCCTCCATTTGTTATTTCGTCAAAATTGGTGTTAAATAAAGGGACAATTCAGTAATGTCAATATTGATCTCTCTTTACTTTCAACTTGTGAAGTGTGAAATTCCTCTTTCTTGTACGAATTACACCCAGAATTACTCCCGGACCTACAAATCAAATTTTATATTCGCAGTTTTAGGAGTAATTCTGGGAGTAATTCGTAAAAAAAAAAAAGGGATTTCGCAGTTCACATGTCTTTGAGTAAAGAGATGCCATTATTAAAATTACTGAATTGTCTATTTATTTAACATCAAATGGACAGAATAACAAATGAGGGACTAAATTGAGCAAAAACACAAAAGTCTGGGACTAAATTGAGCGAAACACAAAAGTCTGGGACGATATTAGGTCACCAAAGTCGTTTAGGACGAAATTGAGAAAAACCACTATAGTCGAGGACGATTTTGGGTATTAATAGAAAATGATTTTAAAGTTATTACAGGAATAGAAACGTGTTACTATTACTAGATGCAATATAGATGTGTACATTATGTTTTCTTTCTTATACACTCATAAATTATTTCAAATTTTATAAAATTCCTATTTTTTTGAAACAAAAGAACATATTTCATTAAATCATTAAACTGGCGATACAATCAGGAGGTACAAAAGACCAAAATCTCGAGTCAGCCGAAGAATCAGTTGCCCGTGCAAGAACATGAGCCACTTGGTTCGCTGATCTCTAAAATTCCTATTAGTTGTTAACACATTTAAATATAATATATACATTGTGCATAATTTGTTATATATTTACAAATTCTTTCAATTTTTTATTATTTGTATTATCTTTTTTCTCTTTATACATTTTACAATTTTTTTTTCTCATAATAATTCTAACACTTGTGCTTTTACATTTATTTTAATTATATAATTCCGTTATCATTTTTATTTATTGAGTATTTTTACTGGATGTAAACCAACTTAGGTTATCCATAGTTGATCGTTCAAATCAAGAAAGAAAATAGGATGCTCATGTTGGAAGTCATATTTGTAACCGTGTGGTTACCAAGTCAACAGTCTGACCAACTTTATTGAGATTGTCATTTTGCTTGTGGTTATGTTTGACAAACCTATTTGAAAAGTTATAAGCTAGAAAACTGAAGAACCGTTAAACTAGTTAATTATACTTAAAAGTGTTTGGTAAAATTAACTTTTTGATAAACTGATAAATGTAAAAAGATTAAAAATGACATCTTTCATAAAATTTAAATATGTTGTTTCCATATTAAAATTTAACATTCTGAAATGAAACTATTAGCATAATCATGATCTAGCATCCCATAATGAAGTAGCAATATTGTTGCGAATCTCTTGTATCTCAATAGAGATCTCACTTAAATTTTTGTTGATTGATATATTACTATTTGAATCTTGAAGTTCATCAGGCGGTATGTAATTTGGATGCTGCTCAAGCACATTGAACATCATGTCATCTTGTAAATTCTCTTTTGAATATAATTATGTAGTGCAAATGTGACCATAATAACATTAATTTGGGTCTCCGCACTAAACTGTGACATTTAGCAAGTATCTTCTATTTCTTTTTCAATACTCCAAACGACCTCTTAATAAACTTTGAACAAAAAAATGTGGACAAGTGAAGCATAAAATATTATAGAATTCTATAATATTTTAGTATAGAATTGGAGTATAATTCTATAATATTCTATACTCCGATACTCCAAACGACTTCTCTTTTTCAATACTCCAAATGACCTCTCAATATAGAATTTTATAAAATATTATAGAACTCATATGATTGTATAGAATTTTAGGAAGAATTTTAGAAATATAATCATAGTCATACGATCAAGTAGATCTTCACCATCCGTTGAGAATGCTGATGAGTATAAATAACCTCATGAGCTTTGTTTTGTAACAATTCAAGTGGCCCTAGTTGTTAGAATGATGAGGAAGAATGATGTTTGGGGGTGAAGGAGTCGCACACTTATTTAAAATAATAAGGATAAAGATGAAAAAAATTAAAAACTACTAACTTATTTTTTAAACTTTACATAAAATAACGATTAAAAATAAGGTATTATTTTATAATTTTGTTGTAGTACGCGGCAAAAAGAAAAAGAATGAATTAACAAATTTGCAAACTTGGGTACTAGACATGAAGTTGTCAAATTTTTATTATTTTATAATTTTGTTGTAGTCATTATCTCAAAGCAGTCATTTTCTTTTTTCCAAACTCCTATAGAGAGAGTGACAGGTTGTAGAGAGAAAGCTATCGGCCATGTCTGACGAGCACCATTTCGAGTCGAAGGCAGATGCAGGGGCATCCAAGACCTTCCCGCAGCAAGCTGGTACCATCCGAAAGAATGGCTACCTAGTCATCAAATCTCGCCCTTGCAAGGTCTTCTTCTTCCTTACATCTATCTGTAGATATGCATATTGACTCTGGTAGATGATCTCTCCGGATTTTATGAATGTCTGCTCTCTATTTTGAATGGGTCTTTGTCTAAATTCGAGATCTAGATGTATATGATTTGTTTGTGCGCATGTGTTTATGTGTATAATCTATCTGTGATTTTATTGTAATGGAGGTAACAGTAGAATTTTTGTTGATTATCTCATCATCGGGACTGGAATGGTCTCGATTCAATGGTAGTTTAGCACTTCAATTTTGAGTCTTAGTGATTGCTTTTGGTACATAGTGCTGTTTTTCTCTGCCATTAGCTGTTAGGCAATATGGGGTTATGAATTAGCCACAGGGAAATGATGGGTGACCTCAATTTTGGTTCTTAGCCCCTCAGATAACACTCTTTTGAACCTACTTTCAAAAATGATCTGCCATGTTGGATGCATTGTATTTTAGATTTGACCACTAGAGCAAAGACTTATATTTAGTGAAAAGTGGTGTTTCACATTCAGGTAAAAAAAATTGTGCAAGTATGCTTTTTTATTAAGGCTATACTTGATTGTGAATGTTGTTAGCCCAGATGTGTCAAATCAATGTATTTCAATATTAAGCTTTACTTTTTTAGTTAAAAATTGTATGTTATTGTAATGAATTTCTCAGGCTTTGGAGCTGCCAACTAGCAATATTGGTCCTTAATTTTTGATAGACATTACTTCTTTTAGTTGACATTCTTAAATGAAGCGTTCATTAATCATTTTCTTCTACTTAACTATCATTTTCTAATCAAAGATGTGAATGCAGGAGAAATTTTGATATTCAAAGCTGGAAGACACTTTAATATGACTGTAGCGCAGGCTGTTCTTTTTGTTAATAAAAAATCTATTATAGGTTTCACTGTTTTGTTTTTGGGTAACTTGGAAAACTGTAGCTCCTTAATTTATTGGTCTACTTTTCTGCTGTGGGTTGCCTAGTTCTGTTAAAGAGGATTTTGACTTTTTTGTGAATAGGTTGTTGAGGTCTCCACTTCAAAAACCGGCAAGCATGGGCATGCTAAGTGTCACTTTGTGGCAATTGATATTTTCAATGGGAAGAAACTTGAAGATATTGTTCCTTCTTCTCACAATTGTGATGTAATTCAATTTTGGCCTTTTTCTATTTTTATTCGTTTTTGCTTTTGTATATTGTATATTTTATGCTTTAAGTTTGATTTCTCGTGTATGCCTACTTTTTTTCATCAGGTTCCTCATGTTAATCGCACCGACTACCAGCTGATTGACATCTCGGAAGATGGTTTTGTAAGTTGCCTACTCAAATTCATATCTGAAAATTTTAAATAAGACTGGTTTTATTAACAAAATGGGAAAATCTATGGGTCCTAATTTGGAAGTCGGTGAGGGTTGATGACTTTTTTTCTAACTCACTACCATTCCTCTCAACATAAATACTACATTGAATCTAAATCTCGTAACAAATGCCAAGGCAATTTTTCATTCTTTCACCTTTTAAGTTTGGAACGGGATAGCTTTTTCTATTATTTTCTTCTTGTACTTAGCTCAGATTTAGGAATTTGGGAATGCTGCATTGTTTTAGGTGTCTCTTCTTACCGAAAACGGGAACACCAAAGATGACTTGAGGCTTCCCACCGATGAAGCTCTGCTTGGCCAGGTAATTGATTGTAACAAAACAGGAATAGTAAACTAAAACTGATTTTCTCATATGTATTAATGTTTGCTTGTTACTGCAATTGATGATTGGCATCTACTTGTGCACAGATTAAAGGTGGATTTGATGAAGGAAAGGATCTTATTTTGACTGTTATGTCTGCAATGGGAGAAGAGCAGATTTGTACGGTGAAAGACATTGGTAAAACTAATTAAGTCGCATGATTTCCAACCCTATCGAAAGCATATCTCTCAAGCGAACCGTTCTCAGAAGAAAGTTTAGCTTCATATCTCTTAAGCGAACCGTTCCCTAAAGAAAGTTTAGCGAGACAGTGAGCTTGAGATTTGCAGCAGCAGGGATGGAGATTTTACTCTTTTTGGTTATGTTTTATTTCTGTGCTCAACTGTTGCAATTTTTTTTGGTGAGGAAAGAGAGGTTGAGCCTCAACTATCTAACTCTGCAGTTAAATTCAATCTTATGTGCATGATTCCTTCCTTCCCTTATGAAGAAAATGGCATTATGAAAGAATCTCCTTGTGATTTTTGTCTCTAATGCAAAGGTTGATTTAGAATAGGTCTTGTGTGTCTTTTATGCTCATCAGATTATAATTGTTCTTATATTATATTTTAAGGAAAATTGATGCTTATTGACATGGCACTACAATGTTTGTTTTTTTGCGTCGAGTATTGTGGGGACAATATTCGGTATAAATTCAAAAGCACAAAATAGGGATAATATTCGGTATTAGCTCTTGAGAGCCCTAGAGAGAAAATTCTAGAGAGAAGAGTGGTGCTGTCCCTTTTTTAACACTCCCCCTCAGCACTGACTCTTCTCGGTCATCCAAAGCTGTTTTCTTCAATCTGCAAATTTTGTAGGAGCCAAGCCTTTCGTGAAAATATCGACTACTTGATCATCTGTCTTGACCGAATCTCGATTTTGCCTTGTAACACCTCCTCCCTCAGGAAATGATAATGAACTTCTACATGTTTGGTCCTCGCGTGGAATACCAGGTTCTCTGCCATCCGAATAGCTGATATATTATCACAATGAAGTATCACTGGATAGTCACTAGGCTGATGCAGAGGTACTTGAGTAAGCAAATGTGGAGGAGAGGTACTTGAGTAAGCAAATGTGGAGGTACTGGGTTATATTTAGTGTAAAAAGCATGGTGTCACATGCTTATATTTAGTGCAAAAGACAGGTGTCGATTGATATAAATGGCTTTTTTATTTTTTTTTAATATATAAATATACTTAAACTACTATAATAATATAAGATATACATGATACATCAAAACAAAACAAATACAAAAATGTCAAAACAAAACAAATACAAAAATGTCAAATTTGATTCCTTCTACAATGGGTCATTGATTCTGAAGCAAGTGATCATATATCAGGTAATCTCAGTATTTTTTCAAATATCATTCCTTTAAATATGGTACTACGGCTACCTTAGCATATGGTTCGTACACCTCTATTTTGGGTAAAGGCAATGTTAGTGTCAGTCTTCCATTCAATTTACTGTCAATATGTCAAATTACCCGAAACCTAAATTGTTGTGTTATGCTCTTTCATGGTTATTGTTTTTTTGTTTTGTTTTGTTTTTTTTTTTCAGGATCTCTTGATGAAGAAGATTATTGGTAAAGGGAAGAAAACTGGTGGATTGCATGTGTTAGAACAACTTTCTCAATTTTATGAAGTGTTTCGACCGGTTTATTGGGCAGTACGTTTTCTTTTCTATTACATTGTCGGCATAGTCACCCACATTTGCCTATCTTAAAGAAGTTATGTCCGGCCCGGTCCGGGGTTAGAATCTTTATCTATCTTTTAATGTGAGTCATATGAACTTACTAAACATTGTCGGGTATCTTACTCTCCTAGAGTCAATAATAGGATAGAGTATTTATTCCAGTTTGATTCATTCCGATGTATGCATGTGGTTGATGAGGGCTTTGTCAAGTTGGTTAAAGTTTTCCTTTCATAAAGGGATTTTTTTATTTTTATAAGTGTAATCTCAACCTAAATTAACGATGAAAGAGATAAATACAATAATACGATGGATAATTTAGGGTCGGTCAATGAATGTATAATTAAGTGTGAGTTCAGCTTAGAAAAAAAAATAGTCATTTAATCCCAATGATAAATCTCTTAAAGTGGTTTGGTTGTTGTACGTGCTTCCAGCTTGAGGGGTATCAAATTGATCCAAAATGATGTTCTTCTGCTTTTGATGATTCCATTTTCACTACGCAACTTCCCTTGTGAATAGCTATTTCTCTTTTTTATGTGATGTTTTGCCTTCAAACATATGATTTACTTCCACCGAAAAAAGAAAAGAAAGGAAAAAAAAATTAAACAACAAGGCCAATAAGCCCAAAGAAAGAGAGCCCGCAAATTATGCCATGGAATCATGTTCACTGAGAATGGTGACACAAGGCAAAACAACGTCGTTTTTAGGCAAAAAAAAAAAAAATCGTGGATGTGGAGTTAACGGCGCGCGTTTGATCAAATTATGAATTTTCTGTTATGAGATTATGAATTTTATGAAAATTCATAATCTCATAACAGAAAATTCATAATCGCATAACAGAAAATTCATAATCTCACAACTGAAAATTCATAATCTCATAACAGAAAATTCATAATCTTATAACAGAAAATTCATAATCTCATGGTTCCAAAGTGAATGTGTAGGCATGGTTCCAAAGTGAGTGTGCAGGCATGGATTCATAATTTATGAATGTCCGTGATTTCGGACGGGAATATGTAGGCATGGTTCCAAAGTGAATGTGCAGGCATGAATTCATAATTTATGAATGTCCGAAATTATGAATGTAATGAAAATTCATAATCTCATAACAGAAAATTCATAATCGCATAACAGAAAATTCATAATCTCATAACTGAAAATTCATAATCTCATAACAGAAAATTCATAATCTTATAACAGAAAATTCATAATCTCATGGTTCCAAAGTGAATGTGTAGGCATGGTTCCAAAGTGAATGTGCAGGCATGGATTCATAATTTATGAATGTCCGTGATTTCGGACGGGAATGTGTAGGCATGGTTCCAAAGTGAATGTGCAGGCATGAATTCATAATTTATGAATGTCCGAAATCTTTGTTCACCTCAAATTAAAGTGAAACCACAAAATGTGAAAATAAAGAAGAAAAGTCACGCAATTAATTAAGAAAAAAAAAAAATAACGGTGTACTAACACCGTTGGAACCGTGTTCACCATGAATGGTGAACACGGTTCCATGGCATAACGTCCCAAGAGAGCCTAGCCTTTCTAATTCACTACTCACTAGTTAACATAATGATTTACCCTGAAATGAAAGTAAGTTTGACAATATTCAGTTCACAACTCTCTAAAAACTGGATTTATGTAGTAACAAAATACCTGTCATAGTGTATATATATATATAGTCCGCATCGGCCCTGGGCATAACTGCCAAGGGCCAGTGCACATTGAGTCCCCAAAAATTGGGAGTCGAATTGTTTTATATATAGAGAGAGCTGATGTAATGCATGGAAATTTGGGCCATTTTGTTATTTATTAATTGCTTCAATCAAGGCTAAATTTTGGCCAATTACATTAACTTAAAAAAAAAAGGAAAGTATGTATACAATATATTCTCTGATTCTCTATTCCCTAATCTCTACTAGTGTATTCAATCATGACTTTTGTAGAGTTTTAAAAACTTTTAAAATGATAGATTTTAATAAACTTTGATTGACTTTCATAGAGTCGTTCAAAACTTTTTAAAACTTTATAAGACTCTATAAAAGTCTATATAAAAAACATTCATAGACTTTTATCAACTTTTTATTTTAAAAAGTCTACAAAAGTCATTGAAATTCTAAATTGAATACATCCTTACAAACTTTTAATAATTTTGATTCTTATCATTTATAATTTTATTACAAAACATTTATAATATATCATAAAATTCTTCTTATTATATATTTCTTCACTCACAACAACATTCTCAACATTATTATTTTTATCCATAGTATGCTAAGACTTATATGCTAATTACTTATATATATATTATTAATAAACATCAACAAAAAAAAAAACTATTTCATTAGAAATTCATAACAATATTGAACAATAAAATTTATAATAAAAGAATTGATCAAATAAAATATTTAAAAGTCTTAATCGAATACCACACGACTTTTAAAGACTCTTTAAAAATCTTGATTGAATACCGCCTAACTTTTACAGACTCTCTAAAAGTTTAAATTGAATACCTCTAAACTTTTAAAGTTCATAAAAGTCTTTAAAACTCTACAAAGTCATGATTGAATACACCCCCCCCCCCCTAAGTATTTGACAAACTAGTATAGCACTCGTGCAATGCATGGATAGTAACATATATTCAATAATTATATTATTTATTAAATTTAAATAATGTAAATAAATAAATAAATACTCAAAATATTATATAATATTTTAAAATATCTTATTATGATAAAGTATGTATAATACCTAATATCAAATTTTGCTTTATAATGATTTAGTGTTGGAATTAATTTTTTTTTTAAAAAAAAAGACCATATGCACATCACTTGTCAAACTACAAAAATATCATGAGCATACAAAGAGAACTATACCAAAAAATCACACAGAGTAGACCTAACTTGTGCGTATTTATAAGCAAGTTAAGGGACATCTAAAAGCTATAGTGCAAAGTGACTTTGTTAAACACATTTTGAATTTAAAAATTTTAATTAAATGCAGTCAGCACAACAAATAATGTATTTGGCTACCCAAAAGTATTAGAATTTGCATATACTAAACTATTACACTAAATATAATGTAATATTAGTAAGTGAAGGCTATGTATATTTTTTAAGGTTTCTTTTTTGAGAAAAAAAAAAAGAAACCTTTGGGCGTTTGGTTCAGGTTATATAAGATAACCAGGGGAATGTGACATTCCAAAACCCACATTCCTATGTTTGGTTCATATTATCTTAGGGAATATAACATTCCCAAGGAATGTCACATTCCCTCCACATAGGATTTTGAAGGGATGTGAGGATAACAAATTATTGTGTGGATCGTGGTCTACATAGTGTTATGTGGACCATAATAAAATGTACAATATTATTTTTGTAGCATTATTTTTGAAGTGTGTTGTAGCATTATTTTTGGGATCAAATCAATTTCAATATTTTTCATTATACTGCCGTGGCTCTTCAGTTCCTATATTGCTAGAGTTTCCTCCATCGCTGCAACGCAAGGGTTAGGCGGACTCCTCCAGTTTTTGCGAGCGCGCTCTTCTCCGGTGCCGGTCTGTACGTGTCGTCCAGGCAGTTGATCTACATGGCGTCGGAAGGGGAGTTCTTCCGGTTCCACTCAAGGTATTTCGAGTTCCATATCTTTTTTTGTGTGGGTTTCCGGTTTTCGACATGGGTTTTAAATATATTTCTGGTATTTTTGGTATGGAATCAATTGTCAATATATTTCTCTCACCCCTTGCCGTGTATCTTCAGTTTCTCTTCTATCAGACGGTT